AGCTGTTTGCAGGTAATCCAGGGGCTCAGAAGAGCTTTATTTATGTGTGGGTGCCCAGAGGGCTGAGATGCGTGTGCAAAACTCTGCCCGTTGGAGGGGGTGCGTAGTTGACAAACAGACACCCAGCCTTCAGCTAAATCCAGCTGCCGCTGTATAAACAGAGTGGGTTTAAGTCCCCGTTGTCCTCTGTGTGCAGTCTCACTGTACAGTTTCCATAGAAATGTATGTAGCTGATTCTTCACCCCAATTCAGAGTTTTCTGCTCTAAGAGCAACAGCGCATGGTTTGCTTTGCTGGGGGCGTGAGGCAGAGATGGGACCTGGAGTCCCCGTGCCAAAGATGTGTTCCACTGCAGAGCTGTGGCTCTTTCAATGAGATATTTTTTTAATCCTCTAAAAAAAAAATCTGTGCTGTGCTATGGCAATATCAGAATTCAGGGTGATACTATTTTCAGCATACAAGATCCTGCAGTCCTTTGACTTCCCAGTGATGAATAAACCCAGAATACCACGCAGAGAAGCTTGGAATAATAGAGATTTCAGAATCCTGCTTCCTTTGGGTGCCGAGTTATAAAAATGTTTTCAGTTGTAACCTGCTTGCGTGGCACCTTGGCAAATAATCTTCAAAGAACACCCTTTTTTGCCCCAGGGGGGTTTTAAAGCTTGTCCAGAGATTCTGAGAGTTGCCTTCCTGTCCATCTGCTCTAAGTGCTGGCAGGAAATTAGGCTCCTAGTTTTTTTTCTTTCTTAAAAAAATAAAATAAACTTATCTTACTGGAAGTAAAAAAGCATCGACTCCATAAAACATCTGATGTGCAAAATTAGAGCAAGGAAGGAAACTGGGCGGAGGGCCGGGGGGGTGGGGGAAGGGAAGATTGAGCCATCGATTCCTGCTATCCATAGCAAAAAATGGAGGAGAATGGTCTAGAAAGCTCCCTTCTATAGGTTCTTCCTTATAGATGACTATACTTAGTGTTCCCGATTCAATGCAGTGGGTAAAAATTCCTAGCACCTGAAGCTAAATTTCCCCCCCCCAGGCTGAACAGCATGGAAGGTGTATTTTCATGTTCGCTGGATGAACTCGGATTACGGCTCTTGGTATTCCCAGAGGGCACTGGGTTGGGGAACAGGAGGCTGAATTAGGTAGATCTTTGCTTAGATCCAGTGGGGAACTTGCAACAGAATTGGAATAGGTTGTGTAGGGAAAGCTGGTGTTGCGTTCAAGATGGACCTCTGCTAAGAGCCACCTTTTTCATTTAGAGCTCTGCTTTTTCGTAGCCAGGAATGGGCCCCAAAGTCCTTGGACTTCTTTGACAGCACGTCTTGAGTGCTGGGGGACAGTAAAAATGAGGTTCCCAGCACTGTGTTTGAAAGGTTATGACCAAGCCTGAAAAGGGCCTACTTGAAGGCACCATGTTGAAATCAAGGGCTGGAGAAATTATTTGAACTCTGTTTCTACACTCGGTTCTTGAATTTGATTTATTTCTTCTTGCCAAATCTCATTCTAGAGCAGTGTTTCTCAACCTTAGCAACTTTAAGAATTCCCCAGCCAGCCATGGAGTCCACATATCTTAGTTGCCAAGCTTGAGAAACACTGTTCTAGAGCAATAGCCATGTTTCGCCATCATAAGCTTGTTTGCCCTTAAGGGTTCACAGGTTGCCCAAAGCCGTGCTTCCAAACTCTGTGGCTAGATGTGGCCAGTTACAGTCGCAAGCTTGAGTGCCCCCAGACCACGTTCACAAAGAGGAGAAATGGAGGTGGGCCCATTCAAGCTGCCTTTTTAAGAAGCTCAGAGTCAAGGTGGGGATCAGCCCTCTCTCCTGCTCAAACCCTTTCCAATTATTGTTCTCAACCTTCTGGGAAAGTCACGTCATTTCCAAGCCTTCAAAGATTTTTTTAAGTGGAAGTTGCAAGCTAAGTGTTAGGCCTCCCCTTTCAAATCTCCTAAGGCATTTATTTCATTTCCTCCTTGCATCTGCTAATGCTGAAAACCTGGAAAAATCTCACCGGGTTGAAGCTGACTTTTTTACAGTCCTTAAATTTCCAGCCTTGCTGGAATCAGAACTCCTTCAGAAGCTTTGGACTGCAACTCCCATTCGCCGTGGTAATAGTTGAGGGTGATGCGGAGTATTGTTTGACACATGGAAAAGACCTTGGAGGAAGGTCGTTCCATGGCGCCTGGCTTCCAGAGAAGAAACTTCTGAGGGCCTACCTAGAAATGCCATGACATTTTGGATGCCTAGCAAGTGCTATAACCACTGAGCATCAGCCCCTCCTCATTTGGAGCGGACAACCTTCTGCTGCCTAGGGCTGTTATGAAGATGCAGGTCTCTGCTGCACTCTGGCATTAGAGGTGATGAAAAACAGTCCATTCCTTCGTGCTCTTGGACCTCTTCCGGTTCCCAGAGCGATGCAGCAGCAGCTGGTTTTTGCTATTAAAATGATCCATGAGAAGCCAAACTCTTTGAGGCAGCTGCCTGGGCTTTCTTTTCCCAGTGGCTGGCTGGCTGGCTCTCCTGAACCCCCCTACTCTGGCCTCTGGAAGAGAGAAGATCTCCTTTTCTTCTCCCCCTTCTCATGATTTGATGGAGGATTTGCTACCTGGGAAACTTTAGGAAGCTTAGTCTTTCCTTGGGCAATGGGGGAGGAGGTAGGGCTTAAAGGAGTGGATGTGCATCCAGGGGCCTCTTCAGACAACAGGCAAATCTTTGCAGTATTTCAGGTTTTTAATTTAGGGAAAGGATCCCTTGTGGGGTTCGTTGCCTTGGTTTCCAAAGAGAACTGACAGCTCCTCTTTGGAAGATGGTCCTTGGCTCTTCCAGAACAGGCTGGCCACCCTTCGCATGAGATTAGCCTGATGCATCTGGCAGAATGGGCTTGATCCCCCACCTGGGCTTCTGCTTGGCTTGGTGTCCATCTGAAATTCATCGGCTTGTTTGGCTAAGAAACTCTAAGCCCCAGAATGTGAATGAGTCCCAGCTGCAAAAGATGAAACTCTGAAACAGCCAGGGAAGAGTTGGGGAGTAGATTCTAGGCTACGTCAACCCTTTTTAAAGACAGACTCTGTGCTTTAGGGGTTAGGTTGTTGGATTGGGACCATGGAGGCTCAGCTGAAGTCCCCTGTGAACCATGGAGCTCGCTGGTGACTGGGGGCCAAGTCAACCTTCCAGCCCAACATAGTCCCCGGGTTAAGAACGCCCAGTTTACGGACAACCCATAGTTAAGAACGGAGCCTGTTGTAGCAAAATTCGAGTTAAATACACAATGGTTTGAGTTCATTACACCATACTCCTTATACAGTATTATACAATAATACTGTCCCAGCTTACCTACAAATTCAACTTGAGGACCAATCTTGGGAACGGAACTCGTTCCTAAACTGGGGACTACCTGTACTTCAAAGGGTTCTTGTCATGGGGGATAAAGTTGGAAGTGGAGGGCCAGTTTATGACAAGCTTCAAATTGTAATAAATCACTAGGAAATTGAATTCCCAGCATCCCCATCAAGAAGATGATTGGAGCCTGCTCATTTGTGCCCCAAGTAAGGAGCCAGGGTTGATTTGTTCTAGGATCCATTTTGTGCTTGGGTTGCCTTTGATAATGGTGTGCAATCAGTGGAGGCTCTTTGATTGCCCTCCAGAGAAAGGTCTGGGTGCAGTCTTACTGCTCTTCAGCTCTTCTCTGTGGGCTAGCTCAGAAGTGCTGAGGTAACTGTACACTCTCTGCTGGTTCCACGTCTCTCTCCTTTTCCTGATGGGGCTCCTGCCGTCTAGTCTACTCTTTGGCTGGCTCTCTCTGCCCCTGGAGCTTTTTGCGCTCACTGGAGCCAAGACATGAATGCCAAGGATGCAATTCTAAACTCTGAAGAATTTCAAGGGTGAAACTTGCCAAGCATGTGAGCAGTTGGGTGTTTGTGTGCATTTTGGGAAGCAGCAGCAGCTGCTGATGAAGCATTTTCTCTTGGATTCCTCCTTGGTGTGAGCACGTCTGGCTGAGCAACAAGCATGACTTCTGAGCAACTCCAAGTACGGAGGCTTCGGAAGAAAGGGGAAAGGCCTCCTTGAAAGGTTCTTCTCCCCTCTGTGTTAAACATTTACTTTGTGTAGTTGTGGGTGGGGTTAGAATTCTGGGCCAGGACGACCCCAAAATGACCAGCAATCATTTATGCATTTGCCCCACTGCTGCATTTTACAAAACATTCTTGATGATGAAGGGATAGGTTGAGTACCTTCTCAAGTTTTTCAAAGATACAAATGGGATGTAACTGAAAGCCCCCAATTTCTCCCCTTCAGACACACAAAGGCTGTTGTTGACTCCCTCCCCCATCTATGTCTTCTCTTCTAGGGATCGATCTTTCAGCAAATCAAGATGAAGAGAGTGACCAAGAAACCTTCCAAATGGAAATCAACAAAGACACAAAGAAATGCACCTTCAGGACTTGTACTGGGAAGTACTGGACTTTGACCTCAAATGGTGGGGTGCAATCCACTGCCTCAACTAAGTGAGTTCTAGCCACCCCAGGTTGCTCAGAAATTTGTGTGAATGGATTAGGAATCTGATTCAGGGGTTGCATTCATGTAGCCTGTTTGCTTTTGGCTGAGCATGTTGTATGAATCCCATCATTCTAGTCTATTCAACCGAGCAGTTGAAATAATCCATAGCTTAGCATGAAGAGCCCAGCCGCAGGGCTTATAGGGAGTGGGCTTCTAATTTCCAAAATGCAGTGTTGGATTGTGTATGTCTGTACATGCACAGAAAACCCATCTGCTTCCAAGAGAGAATAATGTGAATACAGTGAACTTAAACAGCACTATAGCTGTGTGCAAAAACAGAAAGTCATCTGAGTCCAAAATAGTTTGTTTTGATTATTCTGGAAGTTTTCTGAATTTGAAGCAGAGCTGTTTCAAACTCAAAATGCATCCAGAATGCCGAAGTAATCCATTTCAAATTTGAAACGTTTTGTGCACCTCTACAGCCCTGTGCTGTAAACATTTGTTCAATGCTTAAGAAAATAAATAAATAAATATGAAAGCGTGAGCGTTGGTCGGAAAAGGCTCAACTTGCTGGCTTTAAAACTTGTAGAGATGACTCTTGCATGAAAATGACCCTGTGGGTGGATAAAACAGCCGCGCTGTCCCAAGGGCATAGCAGAAGAGAACTCATTTTTTCACAAGTGTGTGGGGAAATTGGGGAAATGCCACCACCATCATTAAAGGTGTGCCCAAATTGTTCTTAGTTGCATTGTGGCCCTGACAAAGGGGTGGGCACGCTGACCTCCTTCTAGTTCTACCTGTCTCCCTGATATCATGGCACGAGAAATCCTTCTCAATCTTCCTTTGCTACAGCAGGAATGCCAACTGTTACTTCGATATCGAGTGGTGTGACCGACGCATCACTCTGAAAGCTGCCAATGGCAAATATGTTACAGCCAAGAAGAATGGGCAACTTGCTGCCACGGTTGAAACTGCCAGTAAGTGCTTTCTGTGCTTCTGCATATCAGCAGAAGCAAGAATTTTATAACTCCAATAAAAGAAATCCAGTAACCAACACCAAGATAAGCAGGGATTAACACCAGACAAACAATCAAGCAGAAAACAATACCCTAATCTAGGAACTACCAAGGAGAAACTTTAATTACTTTAACTCCTTTAACACAGCCCTTGACTTCTCTAGTCCCAGATCATATAGGAGCAAAACAGCTGGATTTCCCAGTTTTTATGGCACAGCTGAAATTCGGTGGTGCTTTCCTTTCACAGCTTCCCTCCTGAAACCTCGAGTTGCATTCTTGGTATGACATGTTTCTCATTGCATCAGCCACTGGTCTTTTAAAAAAAAATGTGATCCTTTTCATTAAAATTAATAAATGAGAAGATGCATGGTGCAAGGTGTTAGCCTCCAGAAACATGTGTCCAAGCATGATGCTGAGTCTTACATGGTCCCATAGATGTAGTTAGAAAATACAATTTGTTTTGTCCTGGGGTGGTGGTGGTGGTGGAAACATGGCCATCCTGAGCTGGAGTGATTGGAAGTGTCCTGGATGGTGGGAAGCAGTTTGTTTTCTGGTAAGTAACTCATCGTTTCCTCCATTCCCCGGTGGCAGGTGAGACGGAGCAGTTCCTCATGAAGCTGATTAACCGGCCAATCATTGTTCTTCGTGGAGAACATGGCTTCATTGGCTGTCGGAAGATGACGGGCACCCTAGATTGCAATCGATCTTCTTATGATGTCTTTCAGCTGGAGTTTAATGATGGTGCCTACAATATCAAAGGTAGGGACTCTACCTGCCTGCAAGGCAGACCCTCCTGATGGCATCAGTCAGGCTTCCCCAACCAGCTGCCATACAGCGATATGTTGTCAACTCCCAGAATTCATGGCCATCATGGCCACATTGGTTGGGACCATTATGGAAATTGAAGTCAGGAGAAGGCTGGTTATATTTCCCACGTGTGCCCTGGAGCAGAAGAGAGACTGAAAGTAGGAAGTTCACATGAATGCAGGCTGAACTATCCTTGCGCAGCTGCTCAGATATTTTTGGGAGAGTCTGTTGGACACATCCCGTGGCCATGCTGGGGATGCTGTTCCATGGGGTGGAGAGTGCTCACCTTCCCTCTTCCCGCTCCCCTTTCTTGTTTTCAGATTCCACTGGGAAATACTGGATGGTTGGGAATGAGGCATCCATTACCAGCAGCAGCGATACTCCCGTGGACTTCTTCTTTGAGTTCTGCGACTTTAACAAGGTGGCCATCAAAGTCAACAACAAATACCTGAAGGGTGACCATGCTGGAGTCCTCAAAGCCACTGCCGATGCCATTGACCCGTCCACCCTCTGGGAGTATTAAATGCACTTTAGTGTCCTTCCCTTTGCTCCTGGTTTCCTCTCTCCCCTACTTCCTTTTCAGTTGCCAACTTCCTGCAGGGTTTTTCTTTGGTATGTTCTGGTGTGTCTTTTCCAAAAGAGAGGGTTTATATCTTACACACTGGCCTGCTGCCTTTTGTCTGCCATATTGTTTTTTGTTTTTTAAGTTGGCCTTTTTCCCTTTATTATGTGAGTTCATTTAAGACTGGAAAAATATTATTCACCTGCAGAAAATGTCGTGCTCTCAGTTTAGACTTGGAGGGGGGAGGAAAGAAGGGAAAAGTTGGGTTGTAGATGAGCAAATCTCTCCTTTTGCTTCTGCTGGTCCTCCTGAATTGAAAAGGAATATATTTCTCATAATGGGAACCAGCAAACATACCCCACTCCACCCCCATCTCTTAGGGCTCCCCCTCAGTAGGTGGGTCCCCAGGAACTTGAGATCAGCAAGAGTCTGCTTTGGAAAATCTTGGGTTGCTACCATGCTGATTTTCTGGCTCACTGCAGGTGGCATGCATAACTATTGTTCAAACTGGGCCTTCCAGTCTGGGGGCCATTTTCTGTAGTAGGAGTTAGAGTTCTCTTTCTTGGCCTTTGATTTTGAGTTACTTACCCCCATTCTCTAGGGAAGGTAGAGAAGAAGTAGCTTAGGGTATCTTGTCATTCCATGTGATGAGAGAAGGGGTAAGTCAGCCAGTCAAGGTGAGAGTCCAAGGTGAGCTACCAAAGCAGGACAGGCACAAGCTCTGTCTATATGTTCACAGATCAAATGAGCTGCTTTTTATGAATGGAATTGTGTTGGACCTCTAGACATTCATCTCATAAAAGACTCATGTGAGTTCCTTCTTTGTACACTTGCGTGCTTTTAAGTGCCCCCAAAGCATCTCTCAACATCTCCAAAAATCATGCTGAGAAGCCATTGATGCTGCCTTATGGTTCCTTTCCCTTTCTCCCTGGAAGGTGCAACTGTTACAGAAATGTCCTCCTTTTGTACGTTCTCATATTTGGTGTCTTAGAATTTCGTTAGAGCAGGCCAGGACTACCTTGAAGCTGTTGCCTATGGATTGCTGCATCAGATAGATGTTGAGTTGCACGTTACGTCGGCACATCCTTTTCTTTCTTTTGCCTTGGGTGGGGAAAAACATCTCAGCATCTCCTATTTCCCTCCACCGTGCACCCATGACAAAGGGGGTTTCCCTGCCAGCAGTTGCCCACGTGATACAACTGACTTGGAGACAGATCTCCAGCTGAACAGGACCTTAGACGTGGCACAGATCAGTCTGCAGGACTGAGTCCTGCGGACCCCCCTGGGTTTCCCCCAAGTGCTTCCCATTGAAATGCCTCAATAGATTACGGGGTAGGTATGAAGGACAAGATTGGGGAAGGCAGCAGCAGGGGGGTGAAACAAAGAGGGGAAGCCATGCTGCGTGTGCACAAACATTCAGGGGAATCCTTCATCTCCAACTACGTGTGTGTTTTCCTTAAAACAGCAACATTTGCACAGTACACGGTCACTACATTTCTCTGTCTGTTGACCTGAACTGGAATTTGTCTTCTTCCCACCACCCATTCGCTCTGAGAGTGAACCCGTTTCTGGCTTCTGCATCTCGATAGCAGTCCTTCCTACATCTCATCTCCTCTCGACAAGTTATGTGAGGTCTGCCCAAGACTGTTCCCAAGCATCTCATGCCCCACCGGGCCCGCTTTTGCGATTCTGCACCTGCTGTGCAGAGTTCCTAAAAATGGAAAGTTTAACAGAAAGTGTCTTCTCTTTATCTAGATAAACCTACCGAGCCAACCTAACTTAGCCTCTCTAATAGGTTTTTTGTTCTGTATAGCCAACTTGAACCTTTGTAACATGTTGCTTAACTGCTTGAGAGTTTGGAAGAGTCGTGTGTTGTACGCACACCTTAGTGCGGACTTTTTTTTTGCCCAATGCGATGCCTTCTTGGGGTTTTATCTCTGTTTCCTTAGGCCAAACCTACACTGCCAGAGCAGGACCCCCAATTTACACATCTGAAATGGTGCTCTAGTATCTTTCTAACCAGATCCATGAATTTGTAAGACCCAAATTTGTATTTGCTAAACACGTGATTTTACAGGATCCACGGGAGCAGGGTTTGCCGCATTTCAAAGGGGTGGTGGTTCTTTGATTAACGAAGACAAGAGCAGGGACATGTTCTAAGCCTTAAAAACATCAACACTCTGCCATCATAAGGTGTCCTCCATAGGAATTGGTGCTATATTTTCTAGCAATGGGAATTACTTGCCTTATGAGTAAAGAGGGTTTGAGCCGGGGTTCATCTGGGAACCTTACTTGGGGTGTACTGAAGTTCTGGAAACTGTAAAAAAACAAAACTGGAAGGTTTCTTGTGAAAGAAACTACCATTTTGGGAGCAGAGATGACCACCCCATGGGCCAAGCATGGTTCTATAACTTCGACGTTTGTAGGCCTTAGCATTTTGTCCTGTGTCTCTTCCCCACCTGGTGACAGTTGGACCATGTACACCTCACTGCCTTTCCCCATGTAACAGTTTTAAGTCAAGAATTCTTGCCTTCTATTCCCTTGACTATTGTGACTATGAAAAGCATCTCATATTCTGATATGTTTAGTTAATGTTTTTTTTTCCTTTTAAAAACAATTTTGTAAGTGCCATTTGTATAAGAAGCATCAAATGGAGAAGAGAATTGACAAAATAAAGACGTGCATTCAGATAAACTAATTGCTATGTGATTGCTTTTTATAGGGTGTTTCTGTTCTTTGGGGAGATACGGGCAATGTACTTTACCTTCTCCCCGGTGTTCTCTTAAACAGCTACACTGGTTCCCACAGATGGTTATCGTGGCTTAGCAAGGAACACAAAACCCAAACAATGTGATTTATGGGACCAAAAAGAGGAGGGTTTAAGCTGTGCATTTACCAGAGACATTCTTTACCCTGTTTGCTTTGCGAAGTGTATTTTCCTCTTCCCCATTCATTCACAGACAATTCTCCTCCAAATGTTCGTTCATTGAGGAAGGGCATGTCTTTCCTTGTACAGTTGTAAGCCACAATTCATAAAAAGTGCTTTTTGTACTTCTGAAAAAGTTGACGGGAGACCCCAGTGATTTGTCTGCTGCGGGACAATAGGCTGAATCAGTGGGTTGCACTGTTCGACAGTGAAACATGTTCTTCCTGTTTGGAAATACTGATTCGAGTTCTGTGGGTGTCAGGGTGTCATTTGTGTTTGTGGGTGAGTAGAGCATTTGCATATCCCACATAAATAGGGAGGTAAGGTTACAACCAGGCCAATTTGACCTTCAGAGACTTGAGTGAAGGGGGGAGGTGGGATGGACTGTTCTCAAAGGACACTCAACAAATTGGGTTGATTTTAGATTCTCTGGGCAAGTTGATGACACCTTCAAAGGCAGAAAAATAAGAAATTCAGCCTTTATGCCCATGCACTGGTGACCAGGCTAGGACAAGGCTTACATTCACCACAAAGGGAGCCATAAAAACATCAGGATCCAAGCTACTAGTCCTCTTTAGCTACAGAGAAAAAGACATTTTGTTCCTAATCCAACAACCAAGTGATACTTCACTGTTGTGTGCTCAAAACTTGGGATCAGTATCTGAATGCCAGCAAAAACCTCATGCTTGTGGCTTGTTTAACATACTCTGGTTGGTTTAACAAGGCACAATTAGCATACTTAAGTCATCAGCTATGATTTACAAGACACCCCAGCTGGGTTCAGAGCATCCAAAGTCAAAACCAAACACACTACTGTACTGTAGGGTTTTTTTTTTTTTAAGTTTATTTGGACCAGGACACAATTTCACTGATGCATAAATTGACTTTATAGCTAATAGCAGGATGTCTGAAACCAGCTTCAGACTTAATTCCTTGTTCCAAAGCTGCATCTTTAAGAGGAAGCTGGAAGGCCAAGCAAGATGGTGTTTTTAGCACTTGGAGTTAAAATCATGCCTCCCACCCTGACCTCATTTGGTTGAATGTAAAGGAAGCGAGCAAGGTACAGTACTTCAGACTCGCTGTATTGCTTCTAATTTTCATAAGCCGAGTACCTTCCCGCGGGAACCTCAATTAACTCATCCACCCCAACCTTAAACTTCAATTTTTTCCCCCAAGATTGAATTTGGAAAAGGGGATATAAATGCAATTACTGCTTAGATGGCCCTATCATCACGATGTTGCTTTTGAAATGCTAGGCTAGACGTCTCTGTCCTTAATAAGCAATCCTGGGTTTCCAAGGAGGTCTTTTTTTTAATCTGCTTTGTTCTGCAGGCATCTTTCCTGAAATGTGCATCTGTCCTTCAGCTCGGGGACTTTCATATTACGCGTTCCAACAAAGAGCAGTCTGTCTGAGGGACGTCCAGGGGAGCTTGCACAAAAAGTGTTTGCTTCGCGCTGCCGGAAAACAAAAACTCTAGGCGTTTCCTCTCGGCTGTTTGCTTTACGATGCCCTTCTGTGCTTGTTTGAGTTGCAGCTGGTGGGTAAAGATGGTCAACCAGAAGTGGTTTAGGAAAGACAGACTCCTCAGCTGCAATCTCTGTTGCCAACAGCAACTTGCCCCGAGTTTTTCTGGGGCAACAAAACAGGAGGTTTAAAGCTGGCGGCAAAGCAGGAGGTGCGGTGGACAAATCAATGGTGCAAAATGAGGTGATTCCAGTTTTCTGCTTGTCATCTCAATCGCCTGGAAGAATAAAGAGTGCTCTTTGCTGGGCCATCTCTGCCATTTCCAGCATAAATCAGGCTTCCTACTAAGCCACAGTAATTAAAACACTGTTAATTAAAAGCCCAGTCCAACCTCTTTTGAGTTCAGCTGGTAATTCCCAGGCCCTTTTCCTCATAGCAACATGGAAATCCTTAGTTTCTTGGATGCTTCTGGACTTCCTGATGGTCTCCCCTCCAAATCCTAACCAGGTCTGACTTGCAATACCTTACATGAAACCTGCTTTCTTCTGTCAGGCATCCTTCAGACGAGTTGAGAGCCCCAGGGACGGCACGTCTGGATGTTCGCTCTGGGGGAAGGTGACACTAAACCATGGCTGACTTCACACTTTGGATTAAGCCCTCAGGTGACTTGTTGGACTTAAGATGACGTTGGGTTTCTCACATGGAACCACAGACTGCTGAACCAGGGTTTGCTGAATAAACCAAAGCGGCTTAGCCTTAAGCCATGGCCTACAGACCACCAGAATGGGCGTTTTATCTGCAGCTTGCTAAGCAAAAGCCACGTCACAGGGTGCAACGCGTGAACCTGTTTTCCTCAATCTTAGTGGGGCCGGCGTGTCATGTAATCAAAACCAAGGTAGGAACGCAGCCGCTGTGGCTTGCAAACCATTGACATCTCAACTCCAAGCGCTGGGAACCAGGTCTCCACAACCTGGCCCACTTCAGAGGGCAGAGATGCTAACTCCGGCCTCACCAAGTAGCTTTGCTGGAGACTTCACGGGGCACCTTTTAAGCCCCTCCCAAGACAAATTAGCCTCCAACAACGGGGCTCGCCGAGCTGCAGAGGCTGACCCTTAATGGGGGCAGTGGGGCCGCTGACGGACGAGGCCCTCCCGTTGCCAGGGCGACGAGAGGCCTGACCGAGCATCTCGCGCGGAAGGCCGAAAACGGGGAACCGCAGCCCGCGCGCGAGCAAAAGCCTCGACTCACAGCAACCGCCTTGCTATTTCAGGCTAATCCCCCCCTTCATTTTTCCCCACAGAAACCCAGCTCAGCCTAGCCGCTGCTAAACAGAGGAGCTGCTTGTATTCTTTTGAGCTCAACTTCTTACTCATCTAGGAAAGGTTAAAAAAAAACAAACAAAAAAATGCCTTTAAGATTTCTCCAGTTGCTACAGAGCTGAGGAGAGTCAAGAATGACTGTGCAGTTAAAAAAAAAAAAAATCCGTCTTTATGTTTTTCGAGCGCCGTGTTGAGAATTCGTTTTGTATGTCCCTGTCCTTTGGTTTGATGGAATATAAAATGTGTTATTCCCCCCCCCCCAGTGGAGGAAAAAAAAAAAAGGGGGCGAAACTGCCGTGGGATGCAAAGCGCTTGCACTTCAGCAACAAGCTGGCCAAGGCGTGCATGCGGGTGAAAATCGAAAGTCTTCAGAAGCAGCAGCAGTCTTCTTTCAGGAGAGGAGGAGGAGGAAATGGAGGGCGGCATTTGGCAGAGCCGAGCTCTTGCGGTTCTGCCTGCCTTAATAGCCACAGAACAGAAATGGGGCTCAGGCTGGTTTGCATTTTCCAGCTGCCCCCACCCCCTTTAAAAAGCATGCTTCGGGCTGCCCCAGAAGCCCGTCCGCTTAATAGCTGCGCCTCTGAGGACTCCCCACCCGCCCACCACCAGCCCTCAACTGCAAAGAGCCCCCCTGCCCTTTTCGCCTCCCCGGGGTCCCTGAGCCCCCCCTCCCATCCTGCCTCTCCTCCCTTCCCCCCAAAGGCCGCCAGGCTGCCTCCTGCCGCGCTGAGAAATGGGAGAGGTGGAAAGGTCCTGACCCTGAATACGAAATGCGGCGGATGGGCAGGGGGCTGTCCTCTGCTCTTTGAAGACCGGAGGGCGGTGGGTTGCTTCGACGCCAGCTCCCAGCCTCTGGGGCCTTTCCTCTTGAATTCGACTCCGCTCCCTCCCTCGGAGAAGAGAGGTGCTTTTCTCCAGCCAAGCTCTGGAAGACTTTAAACCCGTGCTCTTCTCAGGCCTCCAAGCAACTCTCGTTCCTCCTCTTCCCAAATGTAGCTTCCGAGAAGTCCAGCAGTGCAAACCCTTTCTCTCCATTTCGTATCCAAATACGTCCTACTCCGTAATTCTGGGGTGGGCAACCTATTTAAGGCAGGACTAGGCAAGACACTTGCAAAGTGCCCACCTAAGAGCATGGGGACCAGCGTGAGGACGACCAGCCCACAAACCCTTATTTAGCACAAAGTGAGCTAGGAACCCCGAGCGATGCTCTCTCCTTCCTTCTTGCAAATAGGTGGAGATCCTTTGCCAGCATCCTACTGAATTTATTTTGGTAAAGGATCATTTGAAAAAGACTTAAAGACGGAGGAGGAAGGGCAATCAGAAAAGGTGGTCGTCTCACGTGGAAGGAGAAGGCAAGACGGTTCAGGTCTGCAGCCAACATCTTGTGACCAAGGAGCTGGGTGTTTTGGAAATTGTGGTAGTACCACCTTCTCCCAGATTTCTTGGTTTCAATTTCCATAAATCCAGCCAGCATGGCAGGGGATTATCGGGGCTCGGGTCCAATGTATGGGGAAGACTGAGGAAGGCTGAGTAATGCAGTTCAAAAGGGTTCTTCTTCTGAAACACAAAGGTGCCTCCTCCAATGGCCACTTCCACTGACCATTAGAGAAAACTTTGAAATCTGAAGATGGAGTCCTTGGGGCTCTCTGAGCTGAAGATGTT